GTCATCATCGTCATCATCGTCATCATCGTCATCATCATCATCATCATCATCATCATCATCATCACCACCACCACCACCACCATCATCATCATCGTCATCGTTCTCCGCATCGCTTGATGCCGGTGATATGTCTTCCAGCGTCATGTTCTGTCAAGTGTGTGTGTGTGAGTGTGTGTGTGTGTGTGTGAGTGTGTGTGTTGGAGGTGGCACACGTGTGCTACTGTCAGTGGCAGTGCACACTGAGCAACCGCAGGCGCTTGTTCCACGGCTGAATGCACGCGATCTTGCATGAACACACACACACATACGCGCGCACATACATGCACGCACACATACACGCACACACATACACGCACGCACACACACACACATTTCACACCTCGAGAAGCACGGCCGCTTCACTCGTTGGTGCCATCCGGCCAATCACTGCCACCACGCAAGCAAGCAAGGGACGTTGTCAGCGCACAGAGAGGGATCAGGGTCGAGACGCAGGGGAACGTGAGAGCAGGGCAAACCACACGCAAACGCACACACATACACGCGCGCGTGACAGCGAATCTGAACATCAAAGCACGCCGCACATGTGTCGGCAGATATTCAACTCACTGTGAATGGAGGCATCGCCATCGTGCTCCTCGTCGTCATCGCTGCTTACCGACACCATGTCCAGCTGCAGCGGGCTGGTTGCCAGCTCGTCCTCTGCTTGCCCTTCCCCGTGCCCTTCCTCTTCTGCCCCTTGCTCGGCGTCAACGTCATGTGCATCACCTCTTTGTTGCACGGCCGTGTCGGTAGCATCGCCATCATGGGCCTTGTCCTTACCCTCCTCCCGTTTGTCCCCTGCTTCATCGTATTCGTCGTTGTCGCTGCTGCCTGTGCTCATGTCGACCACTGCTGCGTTGTCTGCGCGGTGCCACGACGTGGTTGTGCGTCCCTGTTCATCATGCCGCTGTGCCTCCGCGCGTACCTGCCCATCCACGCCTTCAGGTCCCTCATCCTCCTCATCACTGCTCACCGGCACCATGTCAATCACAATCGCGTTGTCCTCCCTGCGCCCACCACGACCACCACCACCACCATCATCACCACCCTCGTCCAGCGCAGGTGACCACATGTGTGTGTGCATGTGTGTGTGTGTGTGTGAATGCATGCGTGTGTGTGTGTGTGTGCATGTGTGTGTGTGTGTGTGTCTGTCTGTCTGTCTGTCTCTCTGCCTCGGTCGGTCTGTCTACCTGCCTTGCATCTTTGTCTCCTCCACTCCATGCGCTACCGTTCTCCTCGCGCTCATGTACACACACACTCACCCACGCACGTATGCGCACACAACACACGTACACACGCACACGCACACACACAACACACATTTACGCACACATCAGGCCACAAGAGCCTGTCAGCGCCACTTGTTCGCTCGTCGCACCCGCCACCAGCACGCCAGGCAATGCCAGCAACGCTGCCACCCATTGAGACTAGCCTTCGCATCTCACCCAGCAAACAGCACTCGCGAAGCGTGTTTGAGGACAACCTACAACCATCTCCTTCACCATAATCAACCTCCCTCCCTCTCCTCGATATGTACCTACGCTTTCCGTTCGTTACCGCTGCTTGCTGACCTACTTGCTTCTTTGGGATTCAGTGTATGCATGCTTGATATAAGTTCTGTTGCTGTAACAGCGCTGCTTCATCATAGTCTGACCCCTCTTTCGTTCCCCCTATTCTTTATCGCTCTCTGGTGGGCTGTGCGTGTTTGCTGTGTGTGCTTTCCCTATCACGTGACAACCACCACAACCACCACCACTGCAACTCTTGTCTGTTGGCGGTGTTGATGTTGGCGGTGGTGCCCCAGTCATGTGACCCCTGTACATTTCCTGCCGTGATGTAACACAATACTTTCGGCAAACCACATCTCGTCTACCGCTGTGTGTGTGTGTGTGTGTGTGTGTTTGGTTTCTTCGAATCAATGACTGACTGCCTGAATGACTCCCAATGTTACTCTTGGTGTACTTTTGCCCCTTTCTTTCTTTCTTCCCTTCCGTCGCGCTGCATACGCATGCCATTTGTTTGAATCCACCTCTCTGCCACACCAGTGGATATCACGCTTGCAAACATGGATGGTGTATTGGCTGGCAAAAAAAAAAAAAAACGTACGCACACAACAACACACGAGCACAAATGCAAGTGCCCACACCTTACACGCACACACACACTTCAAACACACACACACACACACAAACACACACACACATTTCACACACACACACACACGCACATTTCATGAGCCCAACCTTTGTCATCGGTCACACGGTTCACGCTGGGCCGTGCTGCCCCTCATACCGCTGCCGAAGCATCTCGCATTCCTGCGAGTGCTTTGCGTACCAGTCCTTCTCCTGGCACGACTTGGAGCAGTACAGCTTTGTGTGGCAGTTGGCACAGCTTCGCAGTGTCACCCCGGGCGTGCCATCCTGCATACCGCAGTTGGAGCAGCGTCGCGTGTACTGTGCATAGATGATGCCGTGGTTGTGCCGCTGTTGCTGCTGCGATACAGCAACGGGCGTCTGGCCAGCCCGGTTCCGCACGTGCGAGGATGCACCCTGCAGGTGGTGATGGTGCGCGATGAGGGTGTGGGAAAGGATAAGGGATGGGAGTTGCTTTGCGCTTGTCACGTCGGGAATGGGAAAAGAGGAGCATGTGTGTGGGGAACGACGAAAACACAAATCGTGCCTTTGTGGCATACAAATGCACACAAAGGCACACAAATGCATGCATGCATGCACGGCAAACAAATACAATGTGCACACACGCAGGCGCACTCACGTGTTGGAGGAGAAAGTCGATGGCATGGGGAACATCAAATGCAGCCGCAACGTGGAGTGGTGTATCACCAGCTTCGTTTTGGGTGTCCAACAGCCCGTTCATGTGCTGCACCAGCTGCTGCAACAGCGGCTGTAGGGGAGGGGGGTGTTAATACAACAACATCATTGATGATGGTGAGGGATGGAACACGCACAAGAGCGAGCACACAGTGCATGTGGGTGGGAATGTGAGCACACGCGTCCGTGTGGGAATGTGAGCACACGCGTCCGTCTCACACACACACACACACACACACACACACACACACACACACACACACACACACACACACACACACACACACACACACACACACACACACACACACACACACACACACACAGGAAGGCACACCTTTGGAGCCGCCTGTCTGACAGCAATATGGAGCGCGGTGTCGCCTGTCCTTGTCTGCGCCGTTGGATCACAGGTGGGGACAGCCAACAATGCCTGCAGGCAATAAGACATTGCGAAACGAGACAGGGGAAAGAAACAGCAGCAAATTGGGTTTGAGGCATTAGGAACTGCTGATCGCACGCAAGTGTGCTCCATGAGTAACAACAGCAAAGAAAACTGCCAGGCACACACACACGCACATCTCACACATCTCACACACACACACGCACACATCTCTCACACACACGCGCGCGCGCACTGCGACCAATCACGCACCTGGACAATGTCTGCGTGCAGGCGATCCACAGCAAGCAGAAGCGGCGTTTTGCCGTCCTTGGCGCGCACATTGACAACGTGTGGTGCCTGCAAGCAACAACATGTGGCATTGACATGTGAACACACGAGTGCACGTCCGATGAAGTAGTAGGGGTGGGTTGACAGCCACCTCACCAATTGGAGACATGATCACACACACGCACACGCACGCACACATGCACACGCACACACACGCACACGCACACACACGCACACGCACACATGCACACGCGCACACACACACACACACACACACACACACACACACACACACACACACACACACACACACACACACGTACCAAGGAGAGATAGTGCTTGACAAAGTGGGTGTGTCCGAATGAGATTGCGGTGTGAATTGGCGCCTGCCCGTCCAAATTCCACATCACGTGCACATCGTTGGAGCATCTGCAGCAGTGTGATAGACGCAACACACATGGCCAGCATCACGCGGTGTCAAACTCACTCATTTGGAGGGGGGAAGGCGGATGGAAGAAGAAGAGAGAACCATCGAAGGAAAACGAGCCATCGAAAGAAAAAAAAAAAGCAAAGGAAAGGAAAGCAGTTGACTCATGCAGTCACAAACATACACACTTTACACACACACACACTTTACACACACACAAACACACACACACACACAAACACACACACACACACACACACACACACACACACACACAAACACACACACACACACACACACACACACACAAACAAACACACACACTTTACACACACCAACCTGGTGATGAGAGAGGACAGGTCGGCGGTGCTGCCTGTGGTGGCGGCCTCGTGGAGATATGTGCTCCCGCTAGCGTTGATCATGCTCATTTCAAGCGACGGGTCTTGCAGAAGGTGCTGGCACACACCGCGGTTTGAAAACTAAAGCGGAAAGAGGGATTACAGGTTTAAACACGCATATACGGTGATGCGTCATTCAAATCGCATGGCAATGTGAAGCAAACTGAGTGAGTCGAGGTGATGGGCACTTCACGCACACGCACACGCACACGCACACGCACACGCACACGCACGCACACGCGCATGCACACGCACACGCACACGCACACGCACACGCACGCGCACCAACAAAACGTACCCTGATTGCGACGTGCAGGAGACCGTCGCGCGTGCCGTCCTGCTGGACATTTGGCCCTTTCCCGACCTGACTCAGCAGGGATGCAAATGCGTCCACGGCCCCCGCGCGTGCCGCGTCAAACAACTGCGACAGAGGGCCACCCGACAGCAAGGATGACGACGCCGAGGACAAGACGGGTGGCGTTGGCGCTAGCGACGAGCCAAGCCCAAACCCGCCACTCCCTGTTGCGGTCAGTGGATCCACCGACCACAGCGACGACGCAAGACCGGACAGCGCGTCCAGCTCCGTGTCTGTGGAGGAGGTGCTTGCATCCCACGCCTTTCGCATCGCAGCCTCGTCTGGCAGGGGAGCAAAGTCCGAGTCAAGCGTGTCCTGGAACTCGCCCAGGGCGTGTTGGATGGCTGCATCAGAGAGGGGTTCGTTGTCCAGCAGTGGGCTCAGGTCCTGTGGTTTGCCGAGCGGCGACAGCGTGGGCGCATACGACGTGGTGGCGCTGCTGCTGCTGGCAGTTGTGGTGGTGACGCTGTTGGTGCTGTTGGGGGTGTTGCCGATGCCGGTGCTTGCGGCGGTGGTCGCTGCGTGCATGTCAGAGGGTGCACTCTGCTGGCGGGCGAGCGGGCTTGCAGACATCTCGCTCACCTGCGAGGCAGTGATGCCCAGCCCCGTGGTCTGCAGCCGGGACCGGGGCGACATTGGCGTGCCAACACCAGGGTGGTGCTGGCGGTGTTCGGGCGACCCTGGTGCAGCGGATGACGTGGCGACCGACACCTGCGGCTGGTACGCCGATTGCCAACTGCTGTACGAGGTGCTGGGGTGCTGTGACGAGGGCACGTACGGCTGCGGGTCCGACGAGAAGGGGCGGTAGTCGTGTGCGGACTCCGAGAACGAGCGAGAGGGAAGCGGGCCGGCCCTGGGCGAGCTGTGGCTTGGCGCCTGGCGTGGTGACCCCGCGTTTGAGCCAGGGCTGCGCTTGGCCGGGAACAGCAGTGTGCTGCCGTTGAGACTGCCTCTACGCCGTGTGGCCCCCGCTGCACTCGTGCTCTGCTCTGCTGCCGTGCTGGCGCCGCTGCTGGCGGCGGGGTGATGGGCACCCTGGTGCGGTGAGCCGATGGAGTGCGAGCCAGGCGACCCAGGCACACCACCATGATGCTGCTGCTGCTGTTGCGGTTGTTGTGGTTGTCGGGGCATGGACATGTGAGATGCAAGCGACACCTGTGGCCCCATGTGCTGCATGCTGACCATAGCGGGCTGTCCCATGTGCGCTGGTGACTTTGGTGGCATGCCAACGTGCTGACCAGCAGCGTGCTGCATGTGCCCACCGGGTGCAAACCTCCACTGCGGAACCTTCATGCCAGGTTGCAGCGTGATGCGGGGCGTGGCGTGCGTGTGCATGTGCGGGGACAGCAACACAGGCTGTTGTGCCTGCTGCTGCTGGGTGTGTTGTTGCTGCTGCTGGCTTTGCTGTTGCTGCTGAATGTGTGCTGCTGCGGCGGCGGCAAAGTGGGACGGGTGCATAGGCCCCTGGTGCGGGTGCATGAAGCGGCCACCGAACTGGTGCGGTGATGCCATCTGATGCGCATGCATCGACTGCGGGGCAGACTGAACGTGGACAGGTGTGTTGGAAGGGGGGGAGGGGAGGAAAGGTTGGATTGGGGAAGGGGGTTTGGGGTTAGCGTGAGGACACGATTCATGCATGCACATATTTGGGAAAAGGCGCAGACATCACACATGCAAACACACATGCAGCAAGAACGTGGCAGCAGGCGCGCAAATGAGCGAGCCAACGCCCCACTTGACGTGAAAATGAAGTTTCATGAGGGTTGATACCTGGAACGAGTGCGATGATGACCGCAGCAATTGCGCAATGGCCTCCTGGTTGCAGCGGAGCGCCTTTGTGTATGGAACTTGGTCGTCGCTGTCCTTCACTTGCGTGTCCGCTTTCTGTTGGGGCGTACAGGTGTTTGAGATATGAGCGTGAGTGAGCATGGTCAAGGGGGGGGGGGTTGTGTGTGCATGACAAGGCCAGGTAACGAGCTGGAGTGTGTATTTATGCACGCGTGTACGTGCATATATGTGTGTGCGTACGTGCATGTGTGTGTGTGTGTGTGTGTGTGTGTGTGTGCAGTTGTGTGTTTGCAGGTGCGTGTGCATTGTTGTGGGCACGTACGAGGTCGAGGAGGAAGGAGACGACACCGCGGTCGCCGGCGATGCTGGCGCGGTGGAGCAGCGTCGTTCCATCCCCGTCCATCGCATTAATGTCCCCGCCCTTCTTGGCAAGCTGCACACACACACACACCCGCACACACACACACACACATGTGAGACGCGGAACGAGACAAAGGCCCATGTGTGCTTGCACGAGAAGGAAACCACATGCCCGCACACACACACACACGCACACACACACACACACGCACACACGCACGCACGCACGCACGCACACACGCACGCACACGCGCACACACACACACGCACGCACACACGCACGCACACACACACACACACACACACACACACACGGTCGAACACCACAATAGCAAAAAGAGAGAATGCGATAGCAAAGAGAGGGGACGCACCTCGAGGACCGACGGCCAGCTGGTGTTGGCGCCGGCGAGCTGGAGCGCTGTCCACCCGCTGCTGTCCTTCACGCTCACGAGCGACGGGTACCGTGACGCAAGCAGCTGCAATGGTGATGGTGGTGATTGTTGGTGTTTGAGAGGGAAAGACGTGTTAGTGTGTGCACAGCGACAGGCAGTGTGGGGCGATGAATCTCAGGGGAGTGCACTGTGCAAGAGTGCAGGCGCTCAGGTGGTATGTGTGTGTGTTCATGTGTGTTGACGTACCTTGACGACCTCCACCTGGTGCGAGGCCGCGGCAATGTGCAGCGGTGTCTGCCCCGACGAATCAAGTGCACTCGCATCGCACCCGGCGTCAAGCAGCGCCTGAAGCACACGCACGATATGGAGAGGCATGCAAGTGGTTGCATGAATGGTTGCATGGTCGGATATGTAAGGTGAATGGATGTCAGAGGTGCGTGCGTGCAAGCATGTACATGGTGGGGGGGGGTGATGCAAAGTGGGTCGTTCACAAACAGTCACCATTCACAAACAGTCACCAGCATTCACCAGGTGTAAGGACACGAAGAGACATTATTGCGTATTATTGCGCACCTCAATGGTTGCCACGGAGCAGTGAAACGTGACGGCCCAGTGCAAAACAGGCATTTCGTTGATGGAGGAATGCAGTTCCGCTTTTCCAATGGAACGTGACGCAAGAAACTGCTTCGTTTCCAGCGGTTTCGGGCGGTTGCTCAGCTGGACAGGCACGATGGGTGAATGGGGAGTGGTGTGCGTTTGTATACATGTGTGTGCATGTGGCTGTATGCAGTCGTGGTGTGTGTGTGTGTGTGTGTGTGTGTGTGTGTGTGTGTGTGTGTGTGTGTGTGTGTGTGTACGTGCGTGTGTACGTGCGTGTGTACGTGCGTGTGGGCGAGTTGTTGTATGCAGTTGAGTGTGTATGTGTGTATGTGTGTGCGTGACAGCAACCCGCAAATCGGCTGTTGAACATACGAATTGGATCGCCGCGTCCGTCTTGTCCTTCAGCCGCTTCTTCTTCAGGTCAGCCGTGTTCGTGTCAACCACCTGGGCATGCATGCATGTAGGTGTGTGTCGGCGGTGCCCACGTCAACGAACATCACTTCACCATCAACACCACCACACTCGCAAGGGCCACAGCACAGCGCAATCAGTACCGCCATCACCACCATCACCGCCACGCACCTCGATGGTGAAGCAGTAGGAGGTGACAAAGTCCTTGACTTGGAAGATGACCCACTGCTCATGTTTCCCAGGATGCTTCCCGTCAAACACAACAGACACCTGCAGACCATGACCAGATGCAGCGGACGACAAGCAGGAAACAAGAACTTTGGTAATGAGAGCGAGTGTGTGTCTGTGTGCATTTGTGTGTGTGTGTGTGTGCGTGTCTGTGTGTGTGTGTGTGTGTGTGTGTGTGTGTGTGTGTGTGTGTGTGTGTATGTGTGTGTGTATGTCTGTCCGTCAGTCAGTCTGTGTATGCGACCGCCGGTTGCAACTTCGATCGTGCCTGCAAGCAACATGGGCCGCACCTCGACAGCCTGCGCGGGTCCGTCCGCTGCGGGGCCGAGCACCGCGTTGGGAATCAGCTCCTGCTCTCCAGAGCACGCGGCGCCTGATGGGCACACGAGGATGCAACGCGAGCAGAATGAGTCAAGTGCACACTGAACCGTTATCCCGCAAACACAAACCAACAGCTTCATACACGGACACACATACACGCACGCACGCGCACGCACACGCACACACACACACACACGCACACGCACGTGACAGCGTGCAAGCGACAACAAGCGACGCACTGATTTTCTTCCTGTGCGACCCGTCGACGCGAACAGCGGCAACACCGCCAATGCTCCACTCCTTGCGCTCGGGATGCGACACGGCCACGCGATGGAGGATGTCCGGCTGCTTGCTCGTCAGCCTTAGAACGATGGGAGTGGTGGTGACGGTGGTGGTGGTGGTGGTGGTGGTGGGAGTGGTGGTTGTGTGAACAAGAGCCGAGGACGCGACAGTCAGCATCGTGCATGCAACCAGTTATTCATGAGCAGTAGGGTGTGTGTGTGTGTGTGTGTGTGTGTGTGTGTGTGTGTGTGTGTGTGTGTGTGTGTGTGTGTGTGTGTGTGTGTGTGTGTGTGTGTGTGTGTCGACGATTAAAGATTCGTAGTCCCAGCGGTACGGGGCAGAGGATGGGTCGCTTAAACACATATCCGGCCAACCAGTGCGATGATAACCCCTCATGAAAACCAAATACGAGCTTCTAAGTGCTAAACTACGTATTTTTTCTTGTGGACGTAATAGCGTGCATGCTAGTACATAG